AACAAAACCTGTGATTTTCCGGAACTAAAAAACCGGATTTTTTCCTGATTTTAGTTTTTTATTTTTTTTTTACAGGGGTGATATTTTCATTTTTTGATTGGCTAATCGGACCAGAGATATATAAGTTATATATCTCTGGCCAGAGATGCCTATAATTACCCTATTTTAAATTAAGATAATTATAAGAAAGATAGTATATGTCAATTAAAACTATTATTATCTTTAATTATAATTATTATTCAAAAATTTGCTCTTTTTTCAATAATAAAATAAAATAACAAATAATTAATATTTATATATATAAATTTGAATTAAATATTAAAAAATATCGAGTCTTTACATATAATAATCTTTTTTCAAGTATTAATATTGAGATTTGTTATATTCTTTGTAATAATACAACATGTATTTGGCTTAACACTTTCGACTAAAAATGAAATAATATAAAAAAATATTATAAAGAAAAAATATAACTGATTATCAAAAAATATTTTTTTAATATATAAAATCTTTTAACTATTTTTGTAATAATAATCAAATAATTTAATAAATTAAATCTAATTAGCATTATACAAAAAATTATATATGCTTATTACTTATAATGAAGCAACTTTCTTTTTAATAATGAAAAAAATCTTTTGGAATTCAGATAATAAGTAATTACTTTACTCAAAATCTGCTAGCATTAGTTAATGATTAGTAATTATTTATATCAATAAATATTAGATTCAGTCAAATATATACAGAATTTCTTATTTCTCTTGAATTAACAAATTCTTAAAGAAGCTTGTATAATTATATGTACTGGAAATAATTAAAATGATTATTAAAGTAAAGAAATTCCAATATTCAATGCAATGCATCCAAATTGTATTGCAATTTTTGATAATAGTATCAATCATGTTTCATATACTAAAAATACTTTAATTAACTTGTTTAGAAATTTTGCTCAACTATTAACAGATATATGATTGTCATGTTACACGAAAATTTGGTCTAATCATTTTCGTACATAAATTTGATTTACACACGTCCGTACGTATCGGTATCATTTTTCATGCATAAATCGTTTTACAAACGATGACTTCCACACCACATATCGATATAAATCATCGTTTTTAAATAAAACACTGCTATAAACTCAAAAGATGTTAAACTCATGATTGTAGTGAATGGCTGCAAAGCGTGTTCACGATATTCATGATGTAATAATAACTGTTGGGATTGTCATGAATTGGGTGAGTGTTCAGTTCACAATACTCATGATTGCAGTAAATGTACCGAATGTCAAGGAAATAAGTTCTGTTATGGATGTAGTCTATATCGCAAACGATTTTATGTTGAAGGGTCTAATGGAAACAAAGGTATCGACAGTCTAATAAAAGAATGCAATAATATTATTGACGATGATGTGATGTAGACGATAAACATTTCGAATGAATCCCTTCTGAAGGATTTACCAATGTTAAATATCTTGCAAAAGGAGGTTTCGGATCAATTTATAAAGCATCCTGGTTGGACGGACCATTTGATTTCAAATAGGATCATGAAGAAAATAAATTTAAACGAAGGGGAAAACGGAAAGTTGTGTTGAAATCATTACACAATTCAAAGCAAATTACCTCCGAGTTTATAAACGAGGTAAATTGAAGTGTAAGGATATTGCTTTTTTTTGTTTTTCAATCTAATTAATTTTTTCAAAATTAGATTCTGACTGCTCTAAAGTGCAGTCATGTTCTTGGAAATTATGTAATAATTAAAAACCCAGCTACAAATGAATACTCGATAGTGATGGAATATGCAGAAAATGGCGAGCTACGCAAATATATGAATTCCAACCACCAAAAATTGAATTGGGAACAAAAATTAGAATATTTAAGGAGTATTACTTCAGGGTTGAATAGAATGCATGATGAGGAATTTGTGCATCCTGGAAATATATTAATGCGTTATTATCCTCAAATTGCTGATTACTAAACCACCAGATATAGAACAATCTGATCAAAAAATTTGTGGAGTATGAGTCCAGAGATACTAAATGGAAAAATATACACTAAAGCTGCAGATATTTGGATGATTACGTACGAGGTTGCCACAGGTGAACGACCATTCGGTGGGCAGAGCCATGGTATAGATCTCGTATTAGACATCTATAATGGAGTACGACCTACGATACCAAATAATGTTCCTGAATTATTCAAGTTTATTATTGAAAAATGTTGGGATCCTATTCCAGAAAACAGACCAACTGCTGAGGACTTTATGACTTTATCGACTCTTTCTTCTATAACAACAATAATGATGTGATGAGGAATGGAACTGAATAATTTGCATTTTCAGTACTTCGGCTCTTTAGAGGATGAATAACTCGAAAAGTTCTTAAACTAGAAAAGCAGAAATGGAAAGAACTTGACGAGAAGATGAAAAGCGTTCGTTCCTACGAATATGAACAAAAAACAAGCAACCCACTCCAATGCAGTTTACACTAGTCGAGTCTTTATCATAAAATTATTTTCAATTCCAATTGAGACAGATACTTATATTTTAAAATATAAATCATATTAGCATTTCACAGTAATTGAAATTCATAACAAATGTATAGGAATGTCAAGTGTTGTTCCAAACGAAGGTAAAATTACATTTATTATTTTTTCATTCATTTCTTTTATTCATTTCTTTTATTCATTATTATTTTTACTTTGTGTGAAAAACAGATTTCGATTTTAGTATACCACATGAAATCAAAGAGAATGAAAAGATATCGGTTGACTTGCAATTAAAACTACAGACTCATGATGAAACACTTCCAACAAAGTAAAATAATATATATACTTAAGACTTTATTAAATTAAGTTGACAACAATTCTTTTTATTAACTGTGTCTCGAGTTAAAGCACAACAACCAAAAGCAGTTTTTATAAGTTATTTTACTTAGGATCTTTTATACTAGAGTTATTCGTTTATCGCTATGTTTATTACTATAACGACACCTTAGAATTATTAAAGCAAAATTCGATATTGATATCGATTCATTGTTTGGATTGATATTGATGATTCATTTCGATTTTTAGGTAGTGTTCCCGATCACATGATCGCTATGAACTCATCGCACAAAACGCTAAACTTAATACGTACATGTACATGTGCGATGATCGTTATTATTTTGTTGTACACAGACGTACGTACAATGAAATTCTTTGTTCTCTGTTTCTTTGATAACGATAACGATTAAAATAAACTTATAAAATATGTCGAGTTCATCAAAAGATAGCGAAAATGAAATGATAAATCCTGATGAACAAGAATCTGAAAAATCCAAAGACGACAAATTAATCGATCAACTCATAATACTCTACTACAAACAAACCTTAATATACTGGGACTCGACTGTACAGTCCACAATCGAAACTTGGATTTCTAAAAACAACCATAATCTCGCGCACATCATCAATCTTCTAGAACAACGTAAGGAAACATCCATCGAGTGTGCATGTCTACTCGGATTTTTTTATCATTACGGAATTGGATTTAATAGTAAAAACTACGATGAGGCATTTCAATTATATCAATATGCAGCTGATAAAGATGATAGTTTTGCCAATATACAAATTGGGGAACTTTATCAAATCATAAAGAAAGATGACGCGAGAGCTAAAGAAGCATATAAGCGAGCTGCATTGCTAGGACATCCACAAGGAGCGTATAAATATGCATACTTTTTATGCCGTAAGGAGAAAATTTATTGGATTCGAAAATCGGCCGAAAAAGGATTCGAAGCAGCCCAGCAAGATATGGCAAGTCATTGTCATTATGGATATGGTGTATTGAAAGATGTCCATTGTGCTTTAAGTTGGCTCTTAAAATATTCAAAGAGCAATTCTCAGGCTCGAATTGGTGATCTTTACTTTTATTATTAATTATATATTATTAATGGTGAGCGAATGCATATATTTTCAAAAATTATTTAGATTTTAGGATACCTAAAATTAGCTTGGAAATTCAATATTTTATAATTCAGTAAATTATTTATTCAAGAATCAGAACATCTGTTTTATTATAGCATTAAATGCACTTTTACTCTTTCTTAAATTTGTTTTTTTATCCAATAAACGAGCTATTTTTTTCGCAATAAAATCGAGCTCAGCCAAAATTTATAATTTTTATCGAATCCTTAAAATATTAAAATTGCATTAAGATTGATTCCAGTTTTTTCTAGGAAATTTGGTGATTTCTACGTTGACTATTAATTTTGGACTTTTTATTAACTTAGGGAATTAGTATACACATTTTTCAATTAATGAAAATATTTCTAAATAGAATAATATACAATTTTTAATATATCACTTTATTCTATTTGAAGTGCAAAAAAATTAGTAGAATTTCGCCCTCATCGGGCTTCTGAATTTAACAATATCACAATTCGATTTACCAATTTTTTCTTCGTATCGAAATATTAACTTCCATGACTTTCGAGTTACAGTAACAATTTTAACGAAAAAAGCTTCAATGTGCATTCATCCAAAATTATATATTATTACAATAAGATCCATTTCTATGCATAACAATTTTCTTTGTTATCGTATTTTCAGGTAAGACTGTTTTTTGAATGTTGCAAATGCATCCTTTGGCACTACAAGTGAACACGGGATTTATCCAAGATTTTCTCGAGGTTGTTGTCCCTCCTAGCTTGATTCCATGTCCTTTGAAATAACTTATTGATATGAATATAGATATCTATGCTTTCAAAAGTCTTGGATAATATTGTTCTTGTTCAATCTCACTGACATTAATAAAAAACTTTTCTTCTAGAGCTTCAAAATGATAAATCGCTTCATGTGTGATGGTCACATGCGATATCATTTCAAACATGTAGCTGTCCATGTTAGAATGTAGCGGTAGAATGTTTTGCATCGCTGTGCTTTGGTAAAAGCTCCGATGATTTCTTTCTTAGGCGAAGACACATAATTAATTTCTTCCAGAAAAATCATGGCTTATTTTGATGATACCAAACCCTCAAAGGATGTTGCTTAAAATGTATCGAAACATCAACGTCAACGGGTGCAAGATAATCTCCAGCGTCGCAAAAGTTGTCGGGGTTTAAATCAAAATATATTATGAATGAAACCCACCCAAGTATTTGGTTGTTGTACAATTTATCCATACTCCTGCTAATTTTTATCTTTAGGATCAATAAAACCTTTATAATTCATCAGAACTTGTTTATTTTGTTTAAAGAGCTCCACTAACATTAATTTTCCGAAATATGCCTTGTCACTGCCTGGGTTATCCAGTGATGCAGTATCGCTTGAACTCTTTATATTTGAGTATAAAGCCACGGAGATATGTATAACCTTTTCGATTATAGATAGTTGTACCCTCGTCAGTTTGTGGCAAGTTGATCGTTGGTGAGTTATTGATAAGATCTAAAATCATATCCTCGTCTGGAAAAGGTATAAGTTGTGTTAAGAATTTTTTATCATTCTTTAAAGGTCAACATTAAAAGAAAAATACCTTTCTGTTAGATTTGCATTAGTTTTCTTTCTTTTTGCCTCAGTTTATATTTTCCTCGTCCGGTTTCTCTTTCCTGATCGAATAAAAGAATAACTGCGAAATTATACTATCTTTGTTCGAGACACTTACCAGTGGTGGCAGGCGGTTTTACGATGATGTGGATGTCTTGACTTGATTCATGAAAATATCCTCCAGCAGTTTTGAATGGACAACTCTTGATATTTTCAGCATTTTCCAGGTCTTTATCATTGATAGGAATATTCACCTTCCATAGCCTCAGTTCGTCTGTGGTGATATGGTCAAGACGAGGTTTCTTTTTTTCTTAATGGAGATTAGAGATTGGACCGGTTGCGGTCGTAGCTACCCGGGTGGGTCAACTCGCCAGTTAGAATTCATTTGCTAGGCCAATCTAATTCAGAAAGAACCTGAAGTAGTGAGCAAATTATTATTTGTTAAACGGAATGGGTCTAGTAAAAATTTATTAGAAATAGTGAGCACAAATAAATTTTTTTAAAACTTGAATCACGGGTCGGTATCCGGGCAACCCGCGGGTTTAATTCATTAGATGGAAGAAAATTATTAGCAAATCTATTATTTACAGAAGGATTTTATAAAATAGCGCCATGGTGTTGTAACGCGGACCCCAGATTTAATAGTTGGGACCGAAAATATAACCTTAAAAATTTTAGGACCCTAACCCTAACCCTATAACGCACATACAGAATTCCTTGACTTCAGCGATATTAGGCTGGTATGGGTTTGCGACTGATAATTCTAATGATCGTGATGCAAAAAATAAAAAAATTTTCTCTGTCTGGGGGGTATTTTATTGCATTACGCAATTTTTCGTAAATTCTGTTGATCTACTAGTGTGGGCAAAAATCATCGATTATTGTCGTTTTCATCGTCGTCTTAATTACAATGGTCAACTATACTGACAACAAAATTTTTGATAGGTAAATTACATTTTTCAATGACTTTTATCTAAAGACTCAATTAATTTTTTTGATATTAGGAAAACCACGTGACATCGAGTAAACCGAATAAATTTCATCATCCAACGGATAGCGAGATTACTCCAATCGTTAGTGTCACGCTGAAATTCGGCTAACAAGTAAAACTCGGGAAAGATTATCCTCTCAATTACCTGAATTCGCAAAAATTCACAATAAAGCAACAGAGATGGTGTTGTGAACGTATTTAAAGTTTTCCGAGAGAAAGAAGAATTGGCACATTTTCGTACCATGAATATCAATTTTCTTCGTATATATATTCACGACACTTTACATGTAATGAATGATGAATCACCGACTTGTAAAATTTGCTGCCGCGCTAAAGCTTTGCTATTTGAACTTTTTCCATTCGGTAAATATGCAATGTCTTCGGCAACATCAGGTGTAATATCCGGAGAATTAAATTTGGAAGATTGCTTTAATGGAATTCGAGAGGCATTTTCTTTCAAACATCTCGTATCATCTTGGTACCGAGAATGGAGGGTTGCATTGACTTTAGTGCATACTTTAAGAGAACGGTCTCTCAAATTAAATCATTCAAAATTGCAGAAATACGGTGAATCTACTATTATGGAATATATTTGGCTTCAAGCTGAAAATGAATGGACAAATGCAAATGACACATGTATCAAAAACTCAACAACTCTTCGTTCTTTGTTTGGAATTTTAGATATCGCCCAACAATTGTCAAAGCAAACAACACATAAATACACTTTGGTATTATGCTTTTATTTAGCACACAAAAAATCTAAAACACAATTTATCAGATTTAAAGCACTAGTAGTATTATTATCTTTACACGTACTTAAAACTGAATGGTTTTCTATAACTGACGATGACTTTAACTTTGCTAAGAACTTGATGAAACCGAGCAACTGGAATTAAATAAACTCAAAAATATATTGAAGCCAAAATCATGGATGAATCCAGTCTTCAATCAAATCACAATATACGAAACAAAGCTGCAAAGGAAAAGATGGACCTCAGGATCAAGTAATGCTTAATATTATTACGCATGATTTAACATATCGATATCAAATCACTGGAGATTTCTTTTTATTGGAGTGTGGTCAACCTTGCTTTAGAAAAATAGAAACGAATTCGTACATTAAAATGTTTATCAATCTATTGCCCACAATGCAGTATATTTTCGATCCTGATGGCATACAGCCTTTGCCAAAATCAGCTACACTCAAAGAATTATATTTAAGACTTGTTTCAGCTGGATATATTAATGAATCTATTACTAGAATTTGATCAGGCTTCTAAAAATAAAACAGCGATCTAAAAACTCTGCTTCGTTTGAAACTTTAGACAATAATTTTAGAATAAAAATGCCTTGAAGACTACATCCAGCTCAACGCAAAGCAAATAAGATGATTAAGCTGCTTTTTGGTCACATACTAGAAGTTTATCCAGATATGGATGGATTCAGTTCTAGAAGGTTTAAATTTTTTATTTAGTAAAGAAAATTCCAACAAAGAATTAGCTTTTATTCTAAGAAGACAAATTTATATCAAACAATTCAAGTATGATGAAGCACTTTTAGATATGCACCATGCACTTACATTTGAGCCAGAAAACTCGCCAGCAAGATATTCTCGGGCAGAGATTTTTTATAAATATAAAAATTTTGATACATATTCTTAAAAAAGACAATTCTAACGTATCAACTTTTTTATTCTAAGAGGGCAAATTGTATGTTTGAATATATTAAAATAGTAACATTTAAACTTTTTTCATTCCATGATATTGAATTGTATTTAAGTCGTATATGTGGATTTCATTTTTATTTAAAATATTTCCATTATAATCCCAAAAGAGTTCTGCAGTAGATTTAGTGCAGAGTCAATTATTTAGACTTTCTTGTTCCAAAATAATCCATTTAAACAATGGTGAAGGTATTACCATTTACATTGCATATATACATAATTTGAATTAATTTTTCTGATAAATTGATATGGATGGATAGGATTCTTGAGTGGTTTTATTACAATTATAGATTTCCAACTGACTTTGTTATAGTTATACATGTACTCGATATTTCGAAAGACATTCAATTGATTTGTTATTTCCATAAATGTGAAGTTGTTTTTCGAACTACGTAGGTTAATTCAACAGATGCAATATAACGATAATGTGTACAGTCAACTCTCTATACCGAACTGATGGTTCTTTAGTAAAAAAGCTGTTTATATGTCTTTTATAGAGCCCATTACTCTTTTTCTAACGTGCTTATACATGTGAAATTTAAAAATTTAGGTTTGTTAATTAAATATAAGTTTATCTTCATCAATAGAAACCAAGTAAATTATATATTACATATATGCGTAACTATTGACTCAGCCCATATCTGAGAATCGATTAATCGAAACTGAGAATCGATTTTGGGTTGAGAATCGATTCCTATTCCTACAATACGGAACATATAACTCCCGCGCACGATGTTTCTCATATCGATATACTTCTGTTCCGACGATAACGACAGACTGCCTAATTCCTATAAAAATATATAAGTACATGATACAGTGGCTCACACATGTAACCGAACACGAAAATTAACTTTCTAGCATTTTTATTTCCATGACTATTAGTTTG